TTTTTTTATGCGGTATCTTGGACGTGCTCTGTCAGTTTTCATTCAAATTTGGCACATACATGTACTTTATACATGTTAGGATGCATGTCCATGACAATTTGTTTCAAAAGCCGGCCGATTGACAGCCATCTGCCTTTTTGGCCTTACAACTATATTTCCACAATTTATGTACCATTTTCATTCGTATTTGGCACATGTACATCATACATATCAGTGTGTTTCATAATCAGATCAAAGATGGCCGAATTAAGGCTGTTTTAATTTTTGGCCATATTACTACTACACAGAACACGTGTTTTGATGAAAATAAACAATCTGTTGTATACGCCACATGGAATTCAAGTTTCAAGAACACCCTCGCAACAACCCCTTCGCTTTAATATGATGAGCACAAAGAGAACTTTCAAACATTTAACGGGGACTGTGTCATTTTCAATGACTTGTTTGTTTAGCATTTGAGTAGCGTCCTAGGGAAATTCTGATTTTTTAATTAGCTATAGTGATTCATTTAAGTTTAAACAAGTGTTTTCGCTTGTAAAAAAAAAAGTATTAAAAAAAAAATAGTTCTTCCTTTTTTGGCTACCTTAAAGTGCCTGTGCAATGCCCCACCCTCACGTTTCCCATTTTAGATCTGTGTCCCACTGAAATGGGCAGTTATTGATTTTTTGGCTGAAAATGATTACTCGTATCCAAGTAAACGGTCAACTGTTTCCGGATTTCCGACTCTCGCCGAAAGGGTGCCACCAAATGACAAAATGTGAGAGAAAGTCATACCCCTGAGCCGTAATAACACTGGTCATTCAGTATACTTTTAAACGATATACATTTTTCGGTCTATTTTTTTTTTTGAGAGAGAGAGTTTTTAGATGTTGTGTTGTGGGCAGTTGCAGTGAAACGTATAGTCATAGTGTATGTATTCACACGTTTCTAATCGATCCAAAGGTGCGACATCAGTGGACGAAAGCCACTTAACCTCAGATTCTTTTTTTTGTGTGGAAAAACTGTCCTCGTCCATGAAAAAAAACAACTAGGTTTAAAGAGAAACGCCAACAACGTAAACCTGGTGCAACACTTTTCGGACTTTTGAAAGAAATAGATTCCGGACCAGCCCATGATCACTAAGGCGGATTTCAGAAGAGAGAGAGAGAGAGACGTCCGGCAAGTGTTTCAAATGATCCTGATTATCGTTTTATAGAGACGATCACTGTGACCAGCTACATCAGAACGGACATATTACGCATCTAACTCAATCCCATGCAACAAAAATTGATACTATGTGTTCATTATGGTCCATTCTTCATCGACGAACAAGTACATAAGTGACAATTTAGTCAAAGACGAGAAAACTGTGCAAGAAATTTGCCTTATTTACACGTATCGGCAATGCAAGCTGCCATGCGACTTCCCCTTCTGACGTCACAAGGGGAATTTCTGTATGCAAATGAGAAGCTAATGAGGAGCCTCGTTTTAAAACACACAAAAATAAAGTTGCCGTAGACTGAGTTTAAAACACATTTTTTCACTTAAAAAAAATAATTCATGCTTAGAAACATAAAAAATAATAATATTTATGTATCAATGGATAATGTTAGGTGTGAAAATAGCAGCCATTTCACAGGCACTTTAAATTGTTGTGAAATTATTCTTGTAGCAACATGTTCCTTTAACACTGTATTTGTTACATTGTTGTCAAAGTAAAATCTTTGCTAAAACAAAGTAACAAATTATTGTCATTTTCGCTGTAAATAAGTGGCATAAAAAACACTGCAGTCTGAGTTTGAGAAAATTACACACAAAAAGGCCAGCTTTTAGCGCCCTCTAGAGACAGTGAATTTAAATATTCGCTATAAATTTAAGATTTTATGTACTAGACATTTGTAATTTGAAAAATTAAAACAAATTGTTTATGGTAAATACATGTATGACAACTTGTTATAAAGTAAGTAAATATAAGCTTTTTTTAACACTGTAAAACCTTACTGTAAAAGGGTTAATTATTCACTGGGTTTTAATTTTGCTTATTTCGCTGACTGGCAAATGCGCTAAATTAAAATCCAGTGAATGTGTAAAATTTAGCACAGAACACATTATCTAAATGATAAAACCGCGAATTTAAAACCCACTGAATGTATCTTAAATAGTAAATCAGCAAAATTTAAACCCAGTGAAAATTAGTCATTTTACAGTAGTTTGTTCAGTGACTCACAACAACTTTAGCAACACCGCAAACCATCCTCCCTATAGCTAGCTCTCAAAAACAAACAAAAACATAATATACAGAGGATGGATGGTGTTTAATCGAGTAAAATTTCTAATACCTTAAATATGGTTACTTTATCCAAAAGACTTCACAGTGTAATACAACTTTTAGATTCTCATGACATGGTTAAAACATATTTAAATTTTTTGGTGTAGTTATAAGACCGTGTTTTTATTTTCTTGCAGGAAGTAGATTCTAGCTCTCTGTCATCACCTGACACTGGTATAGGAATGGATAATGGATCTTTCAATTCCACCAATAATGTGGAATCACCCGGCTCCACAACCCCGGAAAAAGAATCTGAAGACCAGGACCCTGAGGAGAATAATGTAAAAGATAGAAATGAGAAAGAAAGGAAGGAAGAAGAAGTTGTTGTACGAGATGATATTTATGAGACTAAAGGAGAAGAAATCCCAACTGTTTTGCTGGAGAATTTAGATTCTGCTAGTGTTGCCTCGGAAGCTAGTACCGGAGAAAAAGGTATTAAAAACTATTGTTATAGTCATATACTCTTGTCTCCTCTAAAATCCGATCATCTAATTATTTTGAAGTTTTTTTTTTTATTATTTTGCCTCAGATTTTACTTTTTGGACCTATTATTCATCTCTAATCGATGCTATAATTAATAAGAACAAAAACCATTAACTTGACGTTACTTACGTTAGGGATGTTGGAAGAAACAAATGTTGTTTGCTATGGAATATTGAATAGAATGGCAAATGAAACATGCAACGGAAATAAATGAACAACATTAGAAGTATAACAAAAATAATTTATTGCTTATAATGTGATAAATAGACCATTAATGATAAAATCGATAGTGAGGAATCATTTGAATTAGGATTTCCCCATGTGAACTCATAATTAACTAAAATGTCAGGGTTAAAATTATTTCTGGTTTTGACAAATACTGGATCAACAGTCATACTAGATCAATAATAATTTACCAATTTACACAGTAAAAATTACGAAAGTTCATAGTTGTTTGAAAAAAAATTCTCAGACCTCTATTTGTCCGTTCATTGCCATCCTCGCCAAAGTCAAAACCAAAGTCCAAGTCAGCGTCACTGTCACTGAACAAAATTCCTACAGCTTTGTCCTGAAGTCTGTTGATGACATCGCACACAATTTGAAATTAGGTCTTTTAACCCACGGATTTCACCTACTGTCAGCTTGGCACATTTAATTCATGTCTAATCACAATAAAGAGACAAGAAAAATAGGGTCGCTGTAAATGACTTTCTGTTACATTGGTACAAGATGCTTTTGTTTACAGTCTGTCAATCATCTTTGACCTTTAAGCATCTGCTTTACTGATTGGCCAAGACTGACATCACTACTAGTGTTTCATCATAGAGCTCAAGTCAACATTGCTTTCTTATCAGACTATACGCTCATCAATCATGGTGAAAGTTATTAGGGTTTCCTGATGCACGTCATTTTATTTTTCAGATCGGATTCAAAATGGCTGACTCGCGGCCATTTTGTTTTAATGAATGGGCTTCTAGAGCCATATCTCTGACATGCTTTGACTGATTATATTCAAATTTTATATATTCATTATACATCATATAATAGATATATAGATGTATTCAAAATGGTCGATTTTGTTTTAAATTATGCTTTTCCGCAGCAATATCTCTCAATATGGACAAGTACTTGTTTGACGGTCAGATACAAGATGTTAATCATTTTAGTGTTAACAAATCATCATAATCATATCCTTGACATGTTTATGTTCCAAGTATATTACTACATGTATAAACAAAACTATATTTTTTTTTATCAGGCATGGCTTGTCCATCTTCAAACTTTATATATTTCTTAAACTTGATAAATCTCAGTGACTACTTAATGCAATTACTTGTTTATTTATTTTCCTCAGGGGACAGTGGACAGGATGAGGAAAGTACCTATAGGAAATACTTGAGAAAATGGGAAAAAGAACGAGAAGAGGAAGAACGCAAGAAAAGTTTTAAAAATATGCCAAGAATGAATCAGGCAGGTTTCATTATCAGTGTTTATAAATCTTTTATGTTCAGACTCCTGTGTAAGCATAAATTGATCTCATTTTATATGTTCCATACTGAATATACCTTTTGTTTTGTAGGAGCAATTTATACAACAATGGAAGACATTGTATGACATGTTTGGAGAAGATGAACATGAACAGGAACTATACCAAGCTATTGCTGCTGTTGGTACACTGCTTCTGGAAATAGGTGAGGTGGGCAAACAGTTCTACAATAAGAATAAGAATCCAACTGCTAACGTTGATGAAGGTGATATTGAAAATGACAATGAGAATAAAAATAAGATGTCTCCAAGTGATAAAGTAGATGACAGTAAAGAGGATGCACCACAAGATGATAGCGTATTTACAGTTGAAAAGGGCGATGAGAATTTACAAGAAACTGAGCAAAGAATGGAAAAACTTGCAGTGAGTGAAAGTAGTCCAACATCAGAGGATGTAACAGCCTTGAGTAGTGTAGCTCTAGACTCAGATTTGACATCGATTAATAGTCAGAGCTTTGATGATGCTATCTCGGGTGAGGAGTTTGGGAAATGTGAAAGACCAGCATCCATCTCCAGCTCCATTCACAAGCTTGATATGGACTGGTCTATTACATTTGAACAGTTCTTGGCCTCCATGTTGACTGAGCCAGTGCTGGTGAAATTTTTTGAGAATCCTGTGGATATATCGGCATTAATCGATGGATTTCGACAGCGAAGATTGTTTGAAAGACAGCTAAGCAGTGCCAGTGTATCTAGTCTTGCATAAATAGGTCATAAAAAGTTATAGTTATCAAAATAGCTATTTTAAATCTATTAAAACTTTGTATCAGTACCTATCACCCTCATTTACAATTAGTTGAGTCCCACTGTTGTTGATGTTAACTCGATCATTGTATTTTCACTCTAAGGGGAAGGGATGGGGACTATATTTTGCATAATCATAGATCATGGTAGCTTTAGTCAATGTATTGATGTGATGAAAATACTTCATTCAAGTCAATGTGTATATATTATATTATATAAATGTATTTGGACATTGATGTGTTCATTTTTCAAGGAGCTAAAAATTTCATGCTTCCATGTTTGCACTTTTGCTTTTTGAACATGCCTTAAACTTTTCACTTACCCATCTGTCGACAAATACTGAAATACGAACTCAAGATTTAAAGGGTATATTATTAATTTGTTCTGTATTTTGTCAACAACAACTTGGTCTTCCTTCTTGAACATTAGATGGTTAGGGTAGGAACTGAAAATAAATCAAAAGGAAAAGGAAGGGGGGAACTTCAAAAACAACACTGAGAATGTACATGACTGTTGATGACACTGACTCAAAGTTGTTTGTTTGTGTGTAGATATATCCTAAAATAGGCTTGGTAGTCAAATTTTCAAATAAAAGTTTGTAAATGACTAAAAGCAGCTTCTAATCAGCTGGTTCAACAGTTGTCGTAATCCATCCCATAAACTGTAATCTATCTATAGATTGGACTGGAATGAAGATTGTTGACATGTGTCAGACATTCACGTAAGAAGACTGCTTGCTTTCCTCAAATATGTTAGAGCAAAATAATTAGTCATTTCATAATTAGAGAAATATACTATCGATGAAAATGATAGTTTTCCCTGTACATTGTCACACATTATTCCCTCTTCATGATGCTGATAATTATTTGCTATTAATCTTTCTAAATCATAAATTTATGCTTACAACACTTGCTGGTGCGATCATATTTAAAAAGTCAATATTTCAGTACATGTACATTATAATTTGGGAAAATTATATGTATTGTATCAGATGTTTTTTTACTGGGAATTATTTTAATTCAGATTTGTTATTGTAGGATACACATTATGTTCGCATTTCAAAATTATGTATCAAAATAGTTATTACATGAATTGTGAGTCTCTGAATTTTAAATTCATTCATTTTAAAACAAAGCAGTCTTCACCTACACCCGAGAATTGAGTCCTTAATATGCAAAGGCTCATGGGTAGGCACTTATTTGGTGGCATAAATAGGTGAAGACTTCCTCACTTGAAATTTAGTACATAATAGCAACACTGTAATTGACTGCTTGGCTTTGCCTCAGCTTGATTTGAGCATAGTTATATTTTAGTGTTCAATTTAATTAACACAATAATCACAAAGTCTAAATTGAACACAATTATAATTAAAGTATAATGACGTCAAGCTACAAGGTCTTACTGTTATTCAGTATTTTTCTAAAATATTTAACCTATATCTGTGCATGTAATACAAGCCTGATCATTCATAGCTTCTTGCAATGTATGTATCATTTTACCATTTGTGTAATAATTAATATGAATATTGTAAATTATTTCCATTGAAAATTTTTACGGGTCGTCCTCTGTAAAATGGTCACTACTACATTAACATCTGCTTCTCCAAATTCACTGCCATTTTACGTTTATAATTTTTTTTTCTCACAAATACACACTTTACAAAGTATTATGGTGTTAGAAGGGACATGTATGTACAGATTGTCTATCCATTCATTGTAATAACGATGTTCTCCCACATTTACTTCTAAAACTAAAGCTATTGGGAATTGAAGTAAAGCACTCAGTGGCGGGTCAAGGTTTTGATACTGAATTCTGCCTAACCCTGAATTATTTGTCATGCTATTAGTAACTTTTGTTACTTTCTATCAAATCTGACTACCATATGGGCATACATAAACATGTGCCCAACTGCACTGCTAGAAATTTCCAGGTATACTTAGATATTTGGAAGTTCACTCATTTCCTTGTATCTCTCTCATGCAACTGCATAGTGGAATATTGAGTACTTAGCATTACAACCGACAAACTAATCATTATATAGTACATCACTAATATCCTACATGTATTGTATGTAATCTGGGTTCTAAGTATTGGCTGTTTTGCCCTATGCCTGAAATACCAATCTTTATTCTTTCAGGGTTCATTTTAACCTCATTATTTATTGTTTCATAAGTTATTAGTGCATTGTTAATACATTTTTAGTTATTCATGCAATATCAACAATTGTTATAAACATGCAGAATCAAAAACTTGAAAAATTTAAGCTAAAGTTCATTGCACGTCTCATCAAATTTATTTCAAATTTAGTTTTATTACGCTAAAATCACACACAGCCTGACAGGCTATAGGTCGCCAGACTTGACAGGCTATAAGTCACCAGACTTGACAGGCTATAGGTCGCCAGACTGACAGGCTATAAGTCACCAGACTTGACAGGCTATAGGTCGCCAGACTGACAGGCTATAAGTCACCAGACTTGACAGGCTATAGGTCGCCAGACTGACAGGCTATAAGTCACCAGACTTGACAGGCTATAGGTCGCCAGACTTGACAGGCTATAGG